CGGCATCACTCAGCCAACTGACCTGGAACCTGGGCCATAAAACGCATTCAAGACTTTCAGGTGAAAGTGCTAGGCAAACACTTTCTTCCATTTCTCCCTCTAAATGTGGAATTCTGCTAGGCAGTCAATGCAAAAGGATAGACATAAACCAAGGTCGATGAAAGTGCTATTACATTCAGAGGGGATATTTTCCATTCGTTTTCAAATTAAAGTCTCATGCAAGTAGCAGAAAAATACACCACAGATTCTTTAGCTTGATTGTTTCAACTTTTAATAGTAAAGTCAACATGTGCCTCCAACTAACTGCTGGGTATTGTTCTGTGATTGCCAGGTTGTTTTATGTATGTGAAGCAACAAAACAATATAAGGTGACAAACAAAAGATGGAAAAATATATAAAAGGGAAAGAAAAAGTTGACTGTGTGCTACCTCGGGCTTTAAAACTCTTCTTATACACTTCACCACGAAGTCTATTAAAGCAAAATATAGTGGAAATACAATACACCGCAATGAATGTCTTCAAACTAGCAATTTAGCGCAAAAGCTGAGGGCAGTTCTTATGCACCGACTTTTAATACCAAGACGATTTGTGGTCTCACAAAGTTCCTGCCTTAGGCAAAAGTTGTGCTGAGTTCTAATAGGTCTAGTTTGTTGGCTGTCAGAATAATGGAGAATTGGGTAGCGGAGGGGCTAGATGCTGTAAACAGCAGAGATAATTAGAAGGTCTGTGGAGAGGCGAGTGAAGCTGGTTTATATTTGGTCACAGGGGAAAGTGTTTGTTCGGGAAACTCCTGGTTGACACAGCACAATCTGAATCTGAGACTGTTTATTTTGAGAACTTTTGTAGGTCACTTGGCATGTTAGGTTTTTTTTATTATAATGATACTGCTATTATTAATAGTAAGTTGCCATTTATTGAACCCTTATTATTTGCTTAGTTCTGTTCCAGTTCTCCTGTATCCCCATTCGGCAGAGAAGGAAATTGAGGCTCAGTGGGTAGGTAAGAGGTTTATTCGATGTCAGGTGCTAGCAAGCCCTAGCCTTTACAATAGACTAGAAACCGTGCTTTGACAGATATGTCGATGTCTTCCTCTGAGGCATGATTACTATTAACAGTCAGAGTATTTTCACTGATAATCCTATGATTTCAAGTCTAGTTTAAATTTCCAATAACTGTAGAGGCAGAACTTGGCTTCCCAGGAAGAGGCTGAGATTGAGAATGAGGCTCTCAGAACTCATGTAGTAATGACAGTCCAGAGGCTGATGTTTTCTAGTAATTCACTTTCATTTTATGTAAATTAGTATGGAATCCAAATTGTCCTTTATAATAAAGCTATCTTTACTCTGTGGGGAAAAGTTTGTTTTCTTGCCCAGGAGGACCAGGTGGTCAAGTCATTGCAGCACTCCTATGTGACAGCCCCCTCAACCTGCCTTGAAGTGGTCACCCTGTCAGGTGAGTCATGGATGAGGAGGATAAGAAAATCCACAGGTGAATTCCCAGGAGGTATGGAAGGGCATTTTCAGTTGCTATGATTTTGCCTTGCACTCTCCCTGCAAGTGTTAAGCACACATGACAAGTAACCTGCCCACTAAGGGATGGGGACCATGATCATTGGCAACCTAGGCTTCGGGGAGCTCAGTTACACACATGGGCCTATCTTGTTTTTCTTAAATAATAAATAGTAATTAGCATTTTCCAGCACATCATGGAATGTTTGCACCGTCCCTCAAGAAAACTACAACAAAACTGGGGAATTGACAGGAAATGAGATACTGAAGCTGTCACGTGCAGAGACCAAAGAGACAGGGATTACTCAGGCTGGAAAGGGGGAAGCTGAGAGATGACGTTATTATAAGCGTATACAATACTCAAAGGTATGATTAAGGACTTGTTTACCAAACACTGGATCATTCAAACAAGATGGCTTCATTAAGAGGCCTTCCTACATGGTTCCTTTCCAGGCAAAATCAACTTCCCTCTCTCTTGCTTTGCGCTCACACTTACAGAAATTTGTTTCTCCTCACTTAGGCCTTTGATTCAGTTATTTAGTAGAAGTAGTAGGTGTAGTGCAAAGGGCACTAGCTGGGGGGTAAAAAAGTGTGGATGCTGATCCTGGCCTTGCCATCGTTTTCATTGTGTCTTGGGGGCTCAGTTTGCTTATCTCTGTAATGGGAATGTTATAAGATGTAACATTTTATGTAACTAAGATGCGCATAAAGACCTCACAGACCTTTATGAAGGTCAAATGGGAGAGGGTGTAGAGGGTGCTTCATTAGTGAGTAAGGGGTTTTTCTTGAACACCTGTTTGCCTCTCATCACATGATTTAGACTCCCTTTATTTGAGCTGCTGCTGGGGCAAAAACTTCAGGGTGCTGTAGCTTGACAGACCCTCCTCCTAGCTGTTCCAGGAATCTCTAGCTTTCTGGGCCAAAGATTCCCCAATGGCATGTTGAAATTATTCATGCATTACTCAGATCATCCCATGAACAAACTCTTGAACACAGAGGTACAGAAGCCAGAGGATGAATAACACTCTCTTCTGCACTTGAGTCTGAGACTCATTTTCTGTGCTCTTCAGAGCGTAGACCATGATGGACTGATGACCACAGATGGATTGAACCTTGCTGCCCATCATAGTGACCCTCTCAAGAACGTTCCCTTGTATGATCTTCTCACCTAGCTCCTGCATATGGGGTCTGAAAACCCTGTCTCAGGTTCTGCTTTCTGGGGGGAACTCAGTATAAGTCAGTGCCGTCCAACAATTTGTAGCTATGCCTCTCCAGCCCTCTATATTTGAGGCTCTGAGTTGATCACAATGATAGCATCCTGGTCAAGGCTAATTATCATATGCCATAGCTCATTTGTAGACAACAAAGTTCAAGTAAGACTCAGCATCTGATTAACTCTGAAGCTGTGGTGCTCTACATGTTTCTCTCAAGCAGCAAGGAGAGTATGAGAGGACCATTGTTAACAGTCTGAAACCCACACTCCTACTGGTTGAAAAACTGATGATATTGAAGCCCCAGAAGCAATATGCTTCCATGTAACAGATTTCCCCAATCCCATGGCCAAGTCTCCAGTAGCCCTCACTTGGACAACAGACATTACTTCCTACTATGTTCCCAGCATTTAGTCTCCACCTTTCCAACTACATGTGTTGACCAGCAGTCAGAGTCATATTTTATAATTCCAAACAAATTGCATTACCCCCCTAAGTAAAACTTACCTATGTTATCCTACTGCTTTCAGAATGGAATCCAATCTTTTTATCACCAACTCCAATGCCTCCAGAACCTGGCACTTGCCTACCTCTTCAGCCCGGCCTTGTCCTCCCTCCTTCTTTCACCACACCAGAGCCACACAAGTCTTTTCAGTTTCTTGGCCTCTGACTTGAGGGACTTTTGCTCCTGTAATTTTCTCCGATGGCGAGCTATTCTTTCATTGATTCCTGTGACCAGTTCCTTCTCTTTCTAGCCTTTGGTTAAATGCCAGATCTGCAAAGCAATATTCCCTGAGTCTTCTATTTAAATAAAGTGTCCCCCTCTTTCCATCTGTCATCGGTTGTTATTCCTTTTGCAGGGACCAACAAACTTTTTCACTAAAGGGCCAGATAATAAAAATTGTAAGTTTTGTAGGCCACAAGGTCTCCGTTGCAACTATTTTACCCTTCAATTGCACGTTAAAAGCAGCTGTAGGCAAAACAAAATGCTTGGGCACGACTGTGTTTCAATAAAACTTTATTTACAAAATCAGGGAGCAAGTAACCTGGATATGGCTCTGGGGGTCCATAGTTTTCTGACTCCTACACTATTGCTTAACGCTTTTAGTTTCCTTAATAGCATTTATTGCGATTTTTAACTGTCCCTGTGCTCATTTACTTGCTGTTTATCTGCCCTCATCAGCTGACTGTGCACCCCATGAAGTAGGAACCATAACCCTTTATATTTTTAACCACAGTGATCTCACTGCTTACAAGCCTACAGGTGTTGTTGGCTACAAATTTGAAGAATAAACAAAAGAATAAAACATCTTCCCTGTTAATTCCTAACTCAGCATCATATATATTTATTTTGTTTGTTTCATAGAACTTATTTCAATTTTTGATTGTTTAATTTTTCTGTTTTTGCAAGTTCCATAAGCATAGAAATGATGTCTGTCCTATTTAATTGATTCACCCTCAGCAATTAGCATAGTACTTGGCACATAGACATCCAAAAAATTGGGATGAATAAAGAAATGAATAAGGGAGTAATTTAGATTGAGTATTTGTATGGGTAAAAGGAAGAATTGACTTCCAGTTACGATACATTTTGGTTTAAAAACATGTATCAATCCGAGAATGAATGAATTAATGCATGCATGGCACATGCCAACTAGCTCTGCAGAGCCCTGAATAATAAATTCTCAAAATTATCTAAATTGATACATCTAGCAAATCCTATGGGAAAATGAAAAAAAACTAGTTATTTGCCACCATCTAGATAAGTCTCTTTAGCCACTTAGAGATTTGGTAAGTGGACAACTTCTCAGGCTTTTTCCAGGTGGAGTTTCAATGAATGTAATTCTAAAGAGTTAACCCAGAGGGTGACCCCAGCTGTGTGACCCCAGCTCCACTGGAAGGCTCAGTGTGACCCAAGAGGACATTTTTTTTTTTTCTTGCTGTGTGGTTCCATCATTATCTGCCACTAAGAAATGATTTTGTTGATTCATGGTCATAACCATGTCTCTGTCTCTGTGGAAAATATTTAAACTGCATTTAAGGACTGCAAAACTGGAGAGAAAAAATCAACATAATGCTTTGTAACGCAGAGGAAAAAGAACAAAATGAATGGTGTGACAACACCTCCTTGTTTGTGTGGGGCAAGGCTTGTTTTTGTCTTTTTTCCCTCCCTGGAGTCATTATTAATAGTGTCCCCTTTCCATCTCAAAAACGCCTGATTTGGACAATAAATTATCCTGTCACTAGAAACATAAGGGATAAGTTATGTTTCTTTCCTAAGGACAAGATGAACATACTCTGGGTGCCTACTGAGTTATCAAGAGCTTGGACTTTGGGAACCTCAGACTGTCTTCTTTGGCCTGTTGTGAGTAATATCCCTGTTCATGGTCACCTGTGAAAGTTTTGGTGGGAAAAACAGCGGCTCCAGCAAAGCCAACTGAAATATTTGATTATCTTAAAATAACCTCTCTGTATCCCACATCAATGATGGAAACCTGAAGGTCTGAAACGCTGACCCTGATCTTTGGAAGGTGTTGATGCCACCAACTGGCACTTGTTTTCCCAGAGGTACTCAAGATGTTTTCAGTGAAGGCTCTTCCTCCCCACTAGCTCTCTTCAATCCCTGATTTTCTAGCAGCCATCAGGAGACTTGGGCATGAATTCTTTATGGACCAGTGAATTACGAGTTATTCAGATTGATGCCAAAGATAGTAGTTAGAACACTGGGCCTGGAAGCAGAGAGCTTGGCTTCAAATTCTGGCTTAGATATTTACCATCTATGTTATCTTTAGTCTCCTTGTGCCTCGATTTTCTTACCTGCACAATGGGGGTATAGTCCCAATCTCCTAGTAGAGGTGCAATGATTGAATGAATTAATCCCGGGAAGATACTTAGAAGAGTGCCAGACACATAGTGCTCAGCAATTCTGTTATTATTACTAACTACTTATACTCTAATGCTTTCTAGCATTGTTACTATCTACTTATACTTCAATGCTCTCTAGATAATATTTTTCAATATTTAGGCAAAAACTATTTTCAAAAGATTTGAGAAATGCTCACCATCATATGGAACTTTGTAATAACAGCTATATCATAAATTTTATTGGCATATTTGCTTTCAGGTTCATGAAAACAGTCTTGATTTCCTTAAGATTTGCCTCACTGTATAATGTCCTTAAATATTTTACAATTTCTGTACCTCTGTGAACTACGGCTACAATAAACTAAATTAAATTAATTAGTTCAGATAATTATTTTAGCTAACCATCATCTTATATAATGTGTCAATTCATCACTGCTTCTTTGTTCTAAAATATCCTGTTTGACTGACATATAAGAGCAAAGTAATATAAGGTTCAATTCTATTTAATAGCATCTGATTTTATTCTCTCCACAAGTCAGATAATTAAGTAATTCCGCTGTAATTATTAGTATTAATTTTATATGTCCTTTCTGGTTACCAGAATTATTATTCCTTCTTTTAGCGTAGTACTTATTGTTAATTTAAATCCATATTCTACACTGACTCCTAGTAAATGACTCCAAATCTTAAACTACTGTGTTTGTTTAGGTCCTAAAAACATGCACTCATATAACTTTTCCATTTCTTAGCTCATTTAATTTGTGATTTACTTAGGTAGTTTTACACAGTTAATTTGGTTGTATCGGAAATCTAGACATTGTTGTTATTTTATAATACAAAATACATGCACAATTTTTTTTTCATTGTTCTAGAATAATTTATTCTTTAGTTTCATGAGGGCCATAAGGACTATTAGAAAATATCTAGTACAATCTGTTCCTTTTACAAACCTGAGGCCAGAAGATGTTCCAGGACTAGCTCAGTCTCATCCTGATAATGTTCTCCTTCTGGTTTTTCATCCTTTTCATCACATCTTCTTTTCATTTGGAAATGCTTCTCTGGTTTTTTTTTTTTTTTCAACTATAATCTTTCATTCTGGAAGCCAAACATGGTTGATCCTCAGCTGTAGGAGGGCAAGGTATAGGATCTAGAAGGGAGGACAAGACATGCCCATGATATTAAGAGAGAAACAGATTTAATCTGGGATGGCTCTTGAAGACTCTTGGGTAGGTGGATGGTTGGGGTGGGTAGGAGGAAATGGCCTGGGACTGACATGAGGGTCCGCTTAGGAGGGACTGCTGTTGGCTGTAGAGAGAGGGAGAGGAAAAGTGAATTGATTCTTTCAGAAGTGGCCCTTACAGTCTAGAGCTCACTGCGAGAGCCAGGGTGAGCTGGTGACTTGGTCATCTTTCTTAACAGACCCATTCGGTTGTTGCCAGGTTCCACGCTCCTCCACTCTGAAAGGTCTCTCCACTCTGCCCCTTCCTCTCCAGTCTCATGTTACCTTCCTGTTCAGGTGTCCACTAGAGGTATTTGGGCTGATGTGGCACTTCCTAACTGGGCTCCCTGTCTTGGTCTCTCCCCACTCTGGTCCATTCTGCAAATACCCTCTAGTAGGCCCTTTGTAGTGCACAAATCTGGCCTTATCAAGTGCTCACTTTAAACCTCATCAGGCTTTTAATTGTCCTGCAGGGCGAAGTCCAAATAATTATCTTCACATTCTGGTCTTCAAATGCCTTCCTGGCTCTACTCCAGTACCTCTAGCCATTCACACTACTGACTGGCTGCATCTTCCTATCTACACACTATGGGATTTCTTCTCCTTTATTTCCTTCCTCCTTCCCCCTTTTCTGCCCAGAGGACCTCTGTTCTTAGGCTCAACCCACATGCCATTACCGTATTGATTCTTCCTTCTCTTCTTCCAAGCAGTATGAGATGCCCACTCTTTGTATTCACTGTGTGTGCGTGGATCTAGAATAAGGCAATGTTTACACTGGAACAAATAATTTATGTGCGTATTTCTTCCATTGTTAAGGTCTCATTTAGCATCGAGTATTTGTTCAGTGCTTACACCAAGGCTGAGGACATAGTAACTTCTCAATACATAGTTTTGAAAGCATCTTTTGTTTCTTTGTACACAGTTCAGGGGAACACAAAGATACAGAAACAAGAAGACCTAAATTAGTTGCTTAAAGACCATGAAAACTTGTTTCTCTTTTACATTCAACTCCAAGATGAGTAGTCCAGGTTGGTGGAAGTTCTCTGTTCCACAGAATCATTCAGGGACTCAGGGTCCTTCTGTGGGGATAGGTCACATTGAGGATAGGTCACAGCCCCTACTGAGTTCCAGTCGGCAGGAAGGAGATAGAGGCGTGGAGGAGGCAATGACCCAACGTCCATGTTGGGAAATGGCACACATTGCTTCTCACATTCCTTGGCCATAAATCAGTCCTATGACCACATCTAACTGTAAGGGAGGCCAGGAAATGTGGTTTATCCATATGACCTGGAAGTAGGGAAGGATAGATTTTTGTGGGCAACTAGCAATCTTCATGCAACTGATTTCTTAAATGTCTTTGTAGCTGTATACGGACTCTCCATGCCAGGGCCCTCAAGCTTCGTGGCCATAAGATTTCATGCTTCGTGTTGAGAAAGAATATCTGTCTGCGTGCAAATGAATAAACTGTCGATATCAAATAGTCTTCTGTCTTTAGCCTTTCTTATCTTCCTTTAAAAGTGATCATAAACTTTCCTACTTAAACTGTCAGGCTTTATTTTCCTCCTATATGAGGAAAAGTTCCTGTACGTTAATTTCATCTTATTTCTTTGTTTAATTAGACAGTCTCTATTTGGCATAAGCCAAGCCTGATTTAAATTTCTTTTTTTTTTCCCTCATCTATTGTCTCTCTTATGGCCTTTTGTAGAAACTGTACTAATTTAGTGAATCTTTTATCTTGATCGGCCTCATCAAGCAAAGAAGGTACTTTTTTTTTTTTTTTTTGAAGTGTTTGTGAAAATTCTTTTGTGTAGCTACTTCCTCTTACGGGTTGGTCTTTTGTGCTTCTTACTTAATTCCATGGCTGTCAGTTCTAACTAAGGGTGCTCCGAGTAGTGATGCTGGTGTAAGAGACAGTGTATGCTTCTTTGGAACAAATGAATTTTAAAGATCCTTGGGGAGCACCTGAATGTCCCTCTACTCAATCTCCTAACTAAGAACCCACTTTTGCATCTATTAAATCTATCAACAGCCCTGATGTTTGCGGGGGACAGGCCATGTTTTCTTGATAAATTCATAATACACACTTTATTGTTTGACTTTTTCTTCTTTTTCTTAATCTTAGGTATAGATTATCCTACCAAAAAAAAAAAAAAATTCTAGGATGGTTCTGCCTACCTCCTTGCAAGACAGAGGTATCATCAGTGTGCTGTTTTCAGTTTTATTGGGAGATCTCTCATAATGTGCTCTAATCTTTGAACCTGGGAAGGGAAAAGGAACAGCCCTGCTGAATTCCCCTCACAGCCCCTCTGCTGCGGGGCCCCGAGGCTCTGGAACCAGGCAGGGATCGGGGCAACGTAGTCTTTAGCTGTGCTCCTGCCCACTCATTACTTCCTTTATGAACCACAGCAGAGTTATGCTTGGACAATTTGCCCTGTTGTTCTCCACTCTTCATCGCCTTTTGCACCAGTCAGAACAAAATGCTGAGTCTCCCATGGATCAGAGAGAAGGGGAAAAAAGCAGCTTATTTATTCTCACCCATACACAACACACACACACACCACGCACACACACATGCACACACACACACACCACGCACACACACATGCACACACACACACACCATGCACACACATGCAACAATATAATGCCTGTTTTTGAGCACTAATTGTGTACTAAGCACGTTGTATATACTGTATGCAAATTTCTCTTCAACCCTGCAAACCAGGTGTTAATTATTATCTCCTTTGTGCTCATTCAATCACTGAGCTTCAAGGGACACTCAGGCAGGCTCAGCTGACCTGATAGGACCTTGGGCAGGGAGGGCTGTCAAGAAGGTCCCCAACTCAGCCCTCTGGTGCCTTCTACATCTTGCAGCACATTTTCCCCTTTGAGATAGCTGAAAATTTTGAGCCTTCTGCTACTTGAGAAGATATGCTCCCTGGAATTTCTTTCTTTTGCAAAATCCTGGGCAACCCTGTCCATTCTTACGGCTCCCAAATCTGGACCTAGAATCTCTAACTTCTCACCTAAGCTCATAATGGGCATATCCAGGGTCTTCTAAATTCAGCATCTGTTTATCCATGAAGAGTCAGCATCCTCTCTGCCCCACTCCACCCCGAACACACATATACATTCTTTATCTGCTATTATTCTCTGACATTTAAGACAGAAACCAGGAGTCACCCTCAGTTCATCTCTCCCCTCGAGTCTCCCATCTAACTGATCAGTGTGTCTTACAGGACTGATGAAGGCAAAGCTGGGCCTCAGTGCTCCCAATGTTC